TATTAATGTAGGTGATTGTTGTTAATGATGTTATCTACACATTACAAGTATCCTTTATTAATGTAGGTGATTGTTGTTAATGATGTTATCTACACATTACAAGTATCCTTTATTAGTGTAGGTGATTGTTGTTAATGATGTTATCTACACATTACAAGTATCCTTTATTAGTATATGTGATTGTTCTTAATGATGTTATTTACACAATACAAGTATCCTTCATTAGTGTTTATAATGTGTTTTACTCACAAGTAGCTTGTATTAGTATAGATGTTTAGGTACTTGGAAGATTACTAGTTAATATTTTCATAATGTACATAACTTTGAATGAGTTTAATTTCTTGTTTTTGAAATTGTATATTTTGACAAGAAGAAAATGAGAGAAGTATTTCATTCTTGATTGTTTTTATGGTAAACCAGTGAATAGTATTTTGTTCTTGGTTTTCAGATATTTTTGTGCATCCCACCTACTATATGTATATCAGCTTGAAGGTAGTTGTTTAGACAAAACTTAATAGAGGGTTTCAAAACATGTTCTTAGATTCATTAATGTTGTTGACTTTCAGCTTACAGACAATGGAGTTGCTGGATCAGTACGATGTCTTCCTCGTTTGAAGTACTTAGGAGTTCAAGGTTGCAAAAAATTAACCAACAGTACATTGGGTGCACTGAGTCAATCCTGTCAACTGTTGCAATACTTAGATGTTTCTCTGTGCCAAGGAATGTCTTTGGAAGCAGTAGAGGCCTTAGAAGTGACCATGTCTCGGCTTCATACTGTGCATAAAAGGCACGTTCCCTCTATTAGGACTGGTGATAGGTCTGAGTACATGTAGGGATGTGCCATGTATAAACTATAGAAGATAAAACTGAAAAAATTACATGATCTTTTCATGTCAAAAATTCTATTGATACCTATCAGAAATGTTCTTGAAAGATAATGAAGTTAAATAAACATGTTGGAACCATCATCTCAGTTGATAAGTATTAAGTCAGGGCAAGTAAAGAGTGTTAAAAACTACTCTAGGTCACTGGTTTTCAGATTTTTTTTTTATGTTGATAGAACACACTGTAATTTGTACACTATGCTGTTGCTTCTGTAATTATGGAGTCATAGTACAGATTAATATCCAGTTGTCTGGACTAGTAAAGAAACCAGTCCAGGGTAGATACAGAAAAACATTTTTTATGAATACTAATATTGAGTAATTTGTTAGAAGTGTCAGTATGATAAAATATTGGATACCTGCGTTTTATCTATCTTATAATAGGAGGATGAGATGTTTTAACATTGAGTTAAATTATACTTTAAGTTAATTGAAAATAACAGATAATAATAATAACCTGATAAAAATATCTAACTTAGGTGTGTATTTAAAACAATGTATCATATGAGACTAATGAGGTTAATCATCTCTCAAAGAAGCACACAAAACACTAGCCCAGCATTCTGTCTACAACAAAGTCAGCCTGAAATTGGTAGGAAACTGTTGATCTGTTTAAAAATTACATCAGTTTGTGATTATGTGAATTGTATGGATAATCTCGTTTTTTGTGTTCTTATTTTGAAAACCTAGTCCTTGTTGTACATGTAACATCAAATTTGTTTTGTCTATTATCATTTTAAAGTCGTACCTCAAAAACAAGAAAGCAAGCTATTTTAACAAGATAAGGATTTTTATATTTGTTTAGGCTGTGATTTTTTGTGAAAAGAGCTGTACTTTGGTCCCAAATTAGCCCTAGATGCAATCCTATGAATATAATGTGTTGAAATACTCCATTTACTATGTACAGTGACCTTAAAGCTGGACATTTAACTTGGTTAATTGACATAACTGATTACATGTGGGCATTGATTACATCAATTAGTTCAAGTAAAATAACTGATTAATCAAAAATCCTTCAACTAATTGAAATTAACATTTCAAATTATTACTGTATTTGATTATTCCATCTATCCAATTAATAGGAATAGTCATTATGATTTATCATTGTTATTTTTGATTAATTTATGGTTGTTCAGTTTAATTTTTTAATGTAACAATTCATGATAGTAAGTAACTAATCGAATTATTACTAGTTTTGATTATTTCAGTTATCCGAGTCTTATGTGAGAATAATCAATTAGTTGAATGTAATTGACTAGTGAGCCTGATGATTATCTGATTAGCAAGTTCCATTAATCACTCAGCTCTAACAGTAGTGATCTTGTAATAAGTCAAATATCGCAACTTTAGTTTTTAATCAGCTTTTGTATTGTTAGTAGGTAATTTTAATTTGTTCAAAAAAACAATTTCTCATGTATATAGCTTGTTCAAGTGTGAAAAACTGTATGTAAGTTAAAACTTGGATGGAAATTGTTGTTAGAATTTTCTATCAGAATAGTTCTTTAATGCTCTTTCTGAAGAAGACAAAGTGATCTTTCTACAAGTTCAGTTTAAAAAGACAAAGTGATCTTTCTACAAGTTCAGTTTAAAAAGACAAAGTGATCCTTCTACAAGTTCAGTTTAAAAAGACAAAGTGATCTTTCTACAAGTTCAGTTTAAGAAGAAAAAGTGATCCTTCTACAAGTTCAGTTTAAAAAGACAAAGTGATCCTTCTACAATTTCAGTTTTGAAAGTGGAAAATTGTTCAAGGGGTATGACACTTGTTCTTTTTTTTCAGCTCAAAGATAAATAACATTGAAGTTGAAAATAAGCACAAAAGAAACAAGGTTGTTTGTATCAAGTGTGTAATTAGGGAAGAATCTTGTTGGTTTATATCTTTTTCATGTTTAAAACCCAACACTGTATGTGATTCTATTGATATTCGAATGCTTTGCCTCTGAGAAAGGAAGCCATATTTTAAATCATGTCTAAACAGAATTGTCAGGCTTAGTGTAAATAGAGCTGATTATACGTGTCTTACGCTTCACACAGGCTGAAATAGACACTGCAGGCTATAAAAAAAACATTATTATTATTGGAGAATGAAATGTAATTGATAAATATTGTGACTAGGTGCTATTGGAAATATCCTGAGCAAATTATTTGTGAACTTCTAATTTCCCAGAAGACAGCATTCAATATTACAAAATATATGTTGAATACGAAACTCTTCTAACCTAGACATTTCCATCAAATAATGCTTCATTATACAACCTGGTAATTCACTTTAGCAACACTGGCCAATCTTGAATTCTAAATAGAGTATCAAAGAAATAAAGTTATTCTTTGTTTTCAAATGCTTGGTAGTGGTTAATTTCTGATAAAGGTTTAACATGTACCAGTTTTTTGTGGGTTTCATTATTCACCTACATACATTCATCTCTTTGTTTAAAACTAATTACACACCAACATCCACATTATGACCAAGTGGGAGCTAATGCTTCAAGAAGTGTCAACTTTGATCAACCTAGCTAGAGATAAACACTTGTAGAGATCAACACTTTCCTTGCCTTTAGATGTGGAAGACAGCTCATTTTCTCCATATAAACAAACTTAACTTTGCACAGTGAAGTGCTTACATTTTCGTGATTGCATATAATATGAGGTTCATACCCCATATTAGCTTTCATTCTACATTACTATGGATGAGGGACTGCTATCAAAATGATTTGTGGCTGGGGCACTAATAGGCAGCTACTACTCAAAATAAGTAAAATGTAATATATTTTAGTTTATATAAGATCTGGGTCCTACAATCTGGTACCCACTGTTACAAACTATCTTGTTAGATTTCTCCTAGTATTTCTTTCTTTGTGTTCCAAGTTTGTTTGATGCATTACTAGCTGTTCAATGATAACATGAATAACTATTTTATAATATTGATGTTTACAGTACACACCTTATCTTAGATCTACCATATGTTGTAGTGATGTTTACAGTACACACCTTATCTTAGATCTACCATATAATGTAGTGATGTTTACAGTACACACACATTATCTTGGATATACCATATAGTGTTGTGATGTTTACAGTACACACCTCATCTTAGATCTACCATATAATGTAGTGATGTTTACAGTACACACATTATCTTGGATATACCATATAGTGTAGTGATGTTTACAGTACGCACATTATCTTAGATCTACCATATAGTGTAGTGATGTTTACAGTACACACCTCATCTTAGATCTACCATATAATGTAGTGATGTTTACAGTACACACATTATCTTGGATATACCATATAGTGTTGTGATGTTTACAGTACACACCATCTTAGATCTACCATATGATGTAGTGATGTTTACAGTACACACCTTATCTATGTTCTATCGTATAGTGTAGTGATGTTTACAGTACACACCTCATCTTAGATCTACCATATAATGTAGTGATGTTTACAGTACACACATTATCTCTGTTCTATCGTATGCTGTAGTGATGTGTACAGCACACACTTGATCTTGTATCTGCCATATAGTGTTGTGGTTTTTACAGTACACACCTTATTTCTGTTCTATTTTATAGTGTAGTGATGTTTACAGTGCTTAACTTATTTTGGATCTGACACATAATATATACTTCATAGACGTAGTTCCATCAGTATATACTATACTCCCAACAGACGTCCAGGCATTATGTATTGTAATTCCAGATATACTCCAAACTTTGCCTTTTCGTTAGGGTAATTGACTCGCATTCTACGGGTCGCGGGATCGAATTCCGTCACCAAACACGCTCGTCCTTCCAGCCGTGAATACATTATGATGTGACAGTCAGACCATCTTTTAGTTTGAAAAGAGTTGGTGATGGGTGGTGTTGTCTAGTTTCTTTATCTCTACTCTATCACTTCAAAATTAGGCATGGCACGTGCAAGCTATCTTGTTCAGTTTCGCGTACACATACTCCAGCGCTATCTTGAAGTATGTTTATGCGAAACTGAACAAACAATAATTCCAATTCTTCCAACAGATGTACACCTTAAACTCTCAAACATTGTATATCCTACATCACAGATGTACACCCGATAATTTTATAAACCTATTATACCCTACTTCACAGGTACACCCGATAATCTTTCAAATATTATATACCCTACCTCACAGATGTACACCCAAGAATCTTCCAGATATTATATACCTTACTTGACAGATACACCCGAGAATCTACCCAACATTATATACCCTACTTCACAGACGTAGACCCGATAATCTTTCAAATATTATATACCATACTTTAAAGTTGTACATCCAATAATCTTCCAAATATTATATATCCTACATCACAGATGTACACCCGAGAATTTTACAAACATATACCCTACTTCACAGGTACACCCGATAATCTTTCAAATATTATATACCCTACTTCACAGATACACTCGAGAATCTACCAAACATTATATACCCTACTTCACAGACGTAGACCCGAGAATCTTTCAAATATTATACACCATACTTTACAGATGTACATCCAAGAATCTTCCAAATATTATATACCCTACTTCACAGTTGTATGCCCGAGAATCTTTCGAACATATACCCTATTTCCTAGATGTATTCTCACAACAATTATCCTAATAATATATATAAGTTTCATGAGCAGTTTTTCAAACGTATATACTTGAAATTTGTATATGTATGTTAACTATTATTTATAGGTTACTAAATGGTAAAGTAAAATACCATAGATATACTTGAAACTTATAATATTTTTCGAAATTATTATTAAAACTGGTTTTAAAACTAAATTTTAAAAACCTCTGTGTTTTTGTTTTTGGTGATATAAAGTTTTAAAAGGACTATTAGAAAACTGAAACTAGCAGATTGGTACCAGTTGTTGTTTTAAGTTTTCAAATTGAAAGTTAAACAATTTAAAATGTTTGAACAAAATTTTCTTTACTGAATAAGTTTCTTTAACAGCAAAGTTGTTTTGCATTTTCTTTAATTAAGATGTAACAATTTCTCACAGAGGACGTTGCAATCGTTTAAATTTTTATGAATATATTAACCAGTGTAAAGGTATGTTTGCGTACAATGAGATGCAAAAGTGTTATAAGTACAATGATAAAATACTCATCCAATTAAAGCTGCTTTAATAAGTTATACGAATCGAATAAAAAATGACACCGGTAAAAGTGGTATTAGTAATTAGGCAAAGGATGGAAAACATTATACACTAAATGTGGTATCATTAATAACTATTAATACAATAATAATAAACACAAAAATGTATGTTTGTGGCTAACATAATAAAAAAGTTTCTCACTTTGCATTACTACTAGTGCTGTTATTACGGCAGCCATGATTACCGGACATCACTTAAAAATAATGAACGAGTTTTTCCACGACTAATATTTAACTTTTATTTGGAAATAGAGTTGGCAAAAAATATATTGGAAAAAATTCCTATTAAAATTAGTTCATTTAATTAACAAATTCTATAACATTTAAGGGACAACAAGGAGCCCATTGAGGCTGCCCCATGCAAATAAAAAACAACAACTAAGAACAGTTTGATCATTCTTCTCCTAAATTTTATACACCCACCACATCCGAAGGCAACCCATTCAAAAAGCCATCCTCCCTGTAAGAAACGTAAAACTGTCTAAGCTGAAGTTGACTCATACTATTCCGACCTTTTGTTCTACCATTAAATACGAAAAAGGATGATACATCGATACTATCAATCCCATAAACAGTCTCAAACACCTCAATTAGATCGGATATATTACTTCTAATTCGTTTCTTTTTTTTAACGAATTTAAATATCTTAACCTGTCTTCACATGACAACCTTTCCATCCCAGGTATCATTCTAGTAGCCCTCATCCGAACACTCCCAACAATACAATGTCCTTCTTAAGATAAGGAGCCCAATACTAAACACAATACTTCAAATAAAACTTAATCAGTGACCAATATAATAAAACGATAATCTCTTTAGACTTTTATTCAATTTAATGAAAAACACCTTGAGTGTGAAAAAAGGTGCGGCAAAAAAGAAAAGAAAAAAGGATTAAGTGTGCGACTTAAAGGAATGAAATCAAAATTAGCGGCCAAAGTGGTAATTACACCTATAGCATTGATAAGAATTTTGCAGAAAATATTCATGCATTAATTAGCCAGGCCGTGTTTTTTGTTAAACTTGGGGAATGATGGTGGATAAAACAAAATAGGAGGCCTAGCTGGCTAATGATTTGTTTGTTTGTAATTAAGCACAAAGACAGACAGCGGGTTATCTGTGCTCTGCCCAAAGCTGATTCAAAACTCTTGGGAAAATATTATCTGGTCCAAGAGCCTTGCCATGTTGTGTAACGCCCCTACCAGTGGCACAGCGATAAATCTTCAGACTTTTAACACTAGAAACCGGGTTTCGATACAAACAAATAAATGTTGTATAACATAATTTGTTGGCGAAATGTAATTTATTGGAAACCTGTTGGATAGGGCTAGTAAAAAAAAAAAGATTTAAAAAAGAAGAAAATAAATATCAATCTTATTGTGTCGTAATGTCACACAAACTACTACTCAGTAAATGTTATTTTACTTTTCTCATAAATTTAAACATGTGCACATTTTAGTTATTTATGTAGTTTTGTAAATTTTCATCAGTGCGTAAAGGGGGCGTACAAAACATAGCTACAAATCAAAGTATTTGCTAAAGGAGTAAACTTGTAATTTTTGTTGGGGATGGATTTGTCGAAGAAAATAATATAATTTATAAGTTTGTGTAATTTGTCATCAGAAACTGAGACTATCTGTATATTTTTTCTTTTATGGTATAAGTCATTTTATGCGACCCATTTAGCCTTATGTTATACAAATTGTAAGAATTAACGTTAATAATCATAAATAAATCGCACGTAATTAATTTTACTTTTAGTAATTCTAGTAATACTAATACTGTATTAATAATAATATATCAGTATCACTTTGTTGGGCATTTACATTTAGTTTAAGATTTGAATAATTTTATTTCTATCATTGAGACATTCACTTTCTCCTTACTACTTCTAGGACTACTAATATTAATAACTTAGTTTTACCCTTGTGTTTTAAATTTAATTTTGTCTGGTGTGTCAATAACAGTGTCATTAAAACCACTGATTAAGAACCTATGACTAAGTACTACTACTAGTACTAAGGAAATTAATGTTTCAGGATAAAATTAAGACTTCACAGTAAACTTCTAGAACCCAATTTTTAGACTACTGTATATGTTAAAGTGGAAAAGAAATTGTTAAAATAATTTTTTACAACAATTTGAGCAAATACTTTTTGTCAGTTAGTGGCACAGTTTTAAAATATATGTTATTTGAAAAGTAATGGTGATTACAAGTTAAACATTACAACAATACTGAAGGCAGGAATGGGAGAAAACAACATTTTAAAATCTTTTTCTGTGATTTAAACTATATATTCTACATTTTTTAGTATGGTTAGTATTCTCTGCAGCCAGGCTATTGCAGCTAAATTCTATAAATTTAGTAACTGTAATAAATAGCAAGCAAATTCTGATTCTGTCAAGTCTACTGCTTTAAGTATAATAGAAATATGACCTACTGTGATAATGTGAATTATTTATAGACTCAGTTTATGGTAGAAATTTACATGCAGTACTGTCAAAAGAATTGTATATTGTAATTCATTCAAATGGCTTGGTTTTTGTTTGCATGATATTTTGTGTGTGCTAGGCAGAATGTTTTGTTCTGTATTTCCCCTTTCAATATAGCACATTTACAGTTTTAAAACTTTCAAATGTTTGTTATTATCATGGGTGTCATTAATGTAATGTTACTCTTCAAGCAGGTGTCAGATATATTTGATATATGACATGCCACCAGTATAACTTATGACAATATAAACTAAGGTTTTAGGAACTTTCAGATAGCATTCAAAAAAAGGAAATATTACGTATAGGAAATTGGGTTTGAACACCTCATATATTTTAGTAGTATAGTTAGATAACTCTAAACTGGTGTTATAAGAATTCATTAGCTTTTTTTTTGTTCACCATGGTAGCTAACCATAAGCAACTGTGCTTTGTCATACTCAAAGTATATGAATGATATAAATGGCAAAACAGTGCAACTTTTGGACTGCCACTATAGCACAGGAATGAAAATATAATTAAACAAAGGTGAAACTTTTTCTGGTGAAAAGTATACATCTATTGTTTCTTACATGTAGACTGATGCAGAAGAATATTTTCATAAATTAGTTTCTTCTATTTATGTTGCATTACTTATTCATGAAAAATTCAGTAAAATTAACTCCACACACCTACTTTGTTTGGTAAATGATTCTATAAGTTTGTAATTCTAATAAAAATAAACCTCCGTTTAGGTTTGTAAAGTGTAAACTGAATGACTTAATAGTTATGTTTTATTTATCTCCTCTAAAATACAACACCAAATCCCTAGCATCTGTAGTTTTATATATGGATTCTACATAGTGTGTTGATAGCCTTTGTGTAATTAAAAGACTAAGACCAACAAAATGACAAGAAGGAGTGTGGCCAGGATAATGACTGTATTGAAATGCTGGAGGTTATCTGTACCATTAACAACAAGGGAGTTTGTTATGTTAAGATTAAGTGAAGGTTAAGAATGACAAGGAGTGTGGCCAGAATAATGACTGTATTGAAATATTGGAGGTTATCTGTACTATTAACAACAAGGGAGTTTGTTATGTTAAGATTAAGTGAAGGTTAAGAATGACAAGGAGTGTGGCCAGAATAATGACTGTATTGAAATATTGGAGGTTATCTGTACTATTAACAACAAGGGAGTTTGTTATGTTAAGATTAAGTGAAGGTTAAGAATGACAAGGAGTGTGGCCAGAATAATGACTGTATTGAAATATTGGAGGTTATCTGTACTATTAACAACAAGGGAGTTTGTTATGTTAAGATTAAGTGAAGGTTAAGAATGAGAAGGAGTGTGGCCAGGATAATGACTGTATTGGAAGATTGGAGGTTAACACTATCTTTAAAGTTCTTTCCCTAATACCTACTTATGAGGGATGCATGGGTACCTGGCCAGATATTTGGCCCTGGTAGGGTATTGGGCTATCCGGTAATACTTGGCTCCAGCCGAGTGTTGAAGTTAGGCATCTGAGCCCTAATCTTTGTGGCAACTAACGTGGTACTGAAAGTTACAGTCAGTAATTGGATTAGTTGTAAAAAATTGTGTTCCGAGCAACAAAAACTGACTGCCCGCTGAAAGTCGGGGATTCAGAGAATAATAGTGGTTAATAACAGGTATGGTTTCAGAAGTGGATTTCTTGGGAAGGTGGGGGTTTGGAGAACAATAGGGGTTAGGATTTGAGAAGTCTGGGCTAGGCATTGAGAGTTGAAAGTAAGACTTAAATGTTCTGTTGGTGATTATTCAGTTAAATGTAATAAAAATCAATTTTTTTGTTTTGTTTTTAATTTTTGTGTATGTTTTTTTTGGGGGGGGGCAAGGGGTGAACCTGGTCCCAGTTGACACCCGGCCCTGCCCGAAGCTTAGTGACTGGGTACCCGGACCCAGTATTTGGCCAAATTTTACTACCTGTGCATCCCTACTACTTATGTTAGTAGAAGAAGGACACTGTGAACAATAAAAATAATGTAGAAGATTTTATATTGTGGTGCTTCAAGAAAACATAGAATATTGTGGAAAAAATATGTGAAGGAAGATTATTGGACGATATCATTAAGAAGAGATCTTTGTATTTTGGGTACATGACATAAAGAGAAGAGAGGAATCATGAAGGAAGACCAATAAGGTGGATAAGAATATAAGTATGGTGACAACAATTACAGTTATCTGTTAGATAGCCGCATGTTGCACTGAAGATTTTAGTTGTAATCAACATAAATTTATACATTTTCATAATTTTTCTCTGACCATATGTTTAAATACAAGCCTGTACACGTGTGTACATATTACTCTTTTAATTGAAAACAGTATCTACATTTCATAACTTCTCAGACCCAAGTCCTTTTAACATTAGGTATATCTCATATGGCCAATGGCAGATGATCCTGACAGAGAAGTATTTCCTGTTAAGGAAGTTCAACCCACAAGCATTCATGTACATGGATTGACGTATGGAGATGTAGGTACAAGTAAGTGAGTTTTCATATTAATTTTATTATTTTTCTTAATAAATGATTATGAATGCAATGAAATTTAAAACGTCATGTTACTCTTGTAAGTTAAACTAATCATGTTGATGAAAAACAGTAGTTAACTGTAATAGGTAAAGTATGTTTTTTGCACTACACTCCATCTTCAAAGGTTAGAGAAACAACATTGAGAGAAAAAAATGATAATGATTTGGACAAAGGATCATTGGGTTTATCAAGGACACCATTACAGCCACCAGAGTAACTAACTCAGGGATTAATATGGAACTAAATGTAAATATTCACATCTGTGAACCTAAATAGAAACATTTAAGAACTTTCAACTAACAATATATCATCACTTAAAGTATGCTATAAGTTTATAGCTCTTAATAAAAATACTTTTTCTGAAGAGTGAGCCTACATTTGGATCTCCAATACACAAAGTTACCTGTAAAATTTAAGTTCATATTTCTAACATTTCAATATACAACTGAAGAATACCACACACATATGTAAGCATATCTTCTAAGCTCTTAACATTTTTTAAACATCTGACACTTGTGTTTTCATTTTGTCTATATCACTTGAGAAGTAAGCAAATCATTTTAATTTTTTTCAGTTTATGAGAAACTAATCCATTACCATACATGTTCTTCTTTGTTGATTGGTCTCTAATGTTTCCTATCAGTCAAAAGAACCACAGCTCAGTTAAACAGAGAAGAAATTGAAGACAAGTATCTTCGTCTTCAAGATGAACACCTGCTTCTGAAAAAACATGCAAGAAAGCAAGAAGATAAAATCAAAAGGTTAGAAGTATGAAGCATCATCTTATCATAATCACATACAGTGTCTTAAAGTGGTAACTGATAAGTAACACCTTATAGTTGTTACTTAGTTAAGTAAGACCTTATAGTTGTTACTTAGTGTGTTCCTTGTTTGTTGTGTTTCAGTGTTTGTAAAGTGGTAACTGATAAGTAACACTTTATAATTGTTACTTAGTATGTTCCTTGTTTGTTGTGTTCCAGTGTCTGTAAAGTGGTAACTGATAAGTAACACCTTATAGTTGTTACTTAGTATGTTCCTTGTTTGTTGTGTTCCAGTGTCTGTAAAGTGGTAGCAGATAAGTAAGACCTTATAGTTGTTACATTGTGTGTTCTTTGTTTGTTGTGTTCCAGTGTCTGTAAAGTGGTAACTGATAAGTAACACCTTATAGTTGTTACTTAGTGTGTTCATTGTTTGTTGTGTTCCAGTGTCTTAAAGTGGTAACTGATAAGTAACACCTTATAGTTGTTACTTAGTGTGTTCATTGTTTGTTGTGTTCCAGTGTCTGTAAAGTGGTAACTGATAAGTCACACCTTATAGTTGTTACTTAGTGTGTTCCTTGTTTGTTGTGTTTCAGTGTTTGTAAAGTGGTAACTGATAAGTAACACTTTATAATTGTTACTTAGTATGTTCCTTGTTTGTTGTGCTCCAAAGTCTGTAAATGTCCCAGTACCTCTGATTTATGTCATGAACTCTTTCATGTATTTTTAGATACATGATAACAAAACCAGACATTTTAAGATATCATTACTTATTTGAAACTTGAAAATGATGAATCACTTTCTTCATGTTCGTACAAACTTTGAGACTGAAAATGTGGTTAGTGTTACAGTTTTTAAAGGCTTAAATGTAGTTTATATATGTGCTTGTGGCAGTGGTTTAGAGGGGATATATATGTGCCTATGGTTGAGAAAGTGTGTTAAAAGTAAAAAATAAATAAATATATTTTGATTTGAAATTGCACAATTATCTGTTCTTGTACAAGTCATTTTTTTCACATTACTCAAAAAAATGATGAGTATCAAACTGATATCACTTTCCTTTTTAACCCTTGTTTCATTTTCATATTTAATTTACTGGATAACATTCTTTTTCTTTCTCACTACAGATTAGCTACAAAGTTAACAAGGCTTCTCAATGATAAGAAACGTTTAGAGCAAGACGGATTTGGTAAGAAAACGAGAGAAAGTGAATTTATAGTATATCTAGTGACAATGTACTGGTTATAGCATGCTTCAAATGATCATTTTTAAGAACAAGAAATTAAGCATCTGTCGTCTGATATTCATACTTTTCATTTAAAAATTGGTAATTAATTATCATTCTAGTTATTATTGTAAACTGCTTCATAGATGGCAGCTTGTTTGACAGAAGGGGAAGTACGATTGTTGTAGTGTGTAATAAAACAAAATTATTTGAAACAAGTTAGTGAAAATACAATTCAAAATGAATTCTTGAGAATATGAGAAACCAATAGTGTATATGGATTTTATAAAGGATTAGATATGCTTTTTAAAAATCACACTTTAAAACTCTTGTTTAGCCAAATTCAAGTTTTTAAACTTTCTGATTTCAGTATAGAACCATATGTGTACTGGAATATGATTCACTTGTTTGTAGGAAGCAGTACAGATGTTACTTTCTTATGTTGATTAGGATGTGAGACACTGAAATAAATGTTTCTCGTGTTTTTAGGATATGAGACACTGAAATAAATGTTCCTTGAGTTTATTAGGATGTGAGACACTGAAATAAATGTTCCTTGAGTTTATTAGGATGTGAGACACTGAAATAAATGTTTCTCATGTTGATTAGGATGTGAGACACTGAAATAAATGTTCCTTGAGTTTATTAGGATGTGAGATGCTGAAATAAATGTTTCTCATGTTTATTAGGATGTGAGACACTGAAATAAATGTTTCTCATGTTTATTAGGATGTGAGACACTGAAATAAATGTTTCTCATGTTTATTAGGATGTAAGATGCTGAAATAAATGTTTCTCATGTTTATTAGGATGTGAGACACTGAAATAAATGTTTCTCGTGTTTATTAGGATGTGAGACACTGAAATAAAGGTTTCTCATGTTTATTAGGATGTGAGACACTGAAACAAGTGAATGTTGAAATAGATGTTTCTGTATGTGGTTATCTGTTGGTTTATTGTTTAGGAAGAAAGCGAGATGTGGAAACAGAAGAAATGGTACAAGACCTACAGGATAAAGTAAGAGATCTGGAACGACAAAATTCCCAACTTCGAGAAAAGGTAATTTTTTGTGATTAAGTTTGATATCATATAGAAATTTGATTTTGGATGTTATCAAAACTTTGTTGCTTCTGCAATATCTTGACAATGTGCAACAGATTGTGAAGCATGCATATTTTCATTATGATAAATATCCAAAAAGATGCATAAAATTGTTTTGAGAGAAAGAGAAATAAGTGGTCAGTGATTTGGTTGAATGACTCTCATCAAGGGTGGAGGTATTCTAAACAGAATTAAAGTTTATAATTATAAGAGTAATGTGCATGTGTGGGAAGTTTGTACTTTAATATTGATTTTTGTTTACATTGTTGATTATATACTTTCTTGTAAACTTTCAGCTTTTGGTTGCTAAGCAACAGATTGTTTCTAATGTGAGAAGACATACACCTTATAGAAATGTGCAAGCAAGAGTTGATTCGGTAAGTTTATTTTACTGTAATAAAAATATACATCATTCTTAACCAGGTAAGGGTGTAATAAACCTAAAAGTCACAAAATTAGAGTATCAGTATAACATTGTTTCTGGTTATTTCTGAAAAAATTGGAAAGCTTTCCCTTTAAAGGATTATAAAGTAGCATTCATTCCTCAAAACAAAAATTGACAACCAGTTACAAACACTCAAAGATCTGAAAAAGACTGTAGATAAAGATGGAATATACCAACTCGGTTGCAGTTGCAGTAAAATATACAATAGGACAAATAAAAAGGAAATTAAAAACAAGAATGAAAGAATACCAGTTTCAAATAAAACATGGTAATGTAATATCCCCTGTTGTAGCAGAACACTTCTGGAACTGTGATGGTACTTATGACTGGAATAATGTAAAAATCTTAAGATACACACAAACTAACATTGAAAGTATTTGCATAATCAAAAACAGACCCCTATGTATAAACAGAGATGATGTGTCAATCAACATGTCCTGTTAGAAGACCTGTTTACCTTAAGTATTCTAGCATTTATGACTTACCTTCCCCCTATCTCTTAATCTTGTTTTTCAAAAATTAACTTGCCCATTAATGGTTGGGACTAAGTACTTACTTAACGGACATTGTAGAATTTTGCCTGATGATGGTAACACAGTTACCAAAACTAGTTGACCGTAAGTTATATTAAATAATTTTAATTATTATTGTGCCAACAAACGTCATTTTTTGTAATTGTTACTCTTAATATTTATAAGCTTGTATATAATACAGTAACGAATTCTATGACTTTTCAAAAAAGTTCCTAAGCCTATTTTGAGTGGATTCCAAGCTTTTTGGGAAGGATGTACTAAGTTATGCGCACTTCAGGTTTTGCTATGACAACTATCGAAGTTGCCAGTTTGGCAATAAGGTTAGACAACATATATGTAACCTATATAAAAGCCAGTATGTGTCACATCACTCTTGATTTCTTAAAATAGGAGTCATCATAAAAACCAAAATGCTTTAATCTACATGGAATAGTTTGATTACTTTCTGTCTATTATGATTTTAGTGATGGGAGTGCAAAGGGGCCATAAACCTTATAAGTGTAGTGAGTGTTGGTATAATAATCCTAAAGTAAAGACGTAGTGTGGGATCATCTAGCCTAGAGCTGTGTGCATAAAAGTTATCATGAAAGTAAAAATATCGAATCAGTTTTAAACTTAAATTGTTTCTGAATTAAGTTATTTTTTGTTATATCATCAACATTTTGAATAAAAAACAAACCTCTTTAATTGATGGAGACTCTAAATTAAGAAATCAACAAATATTTTTCAAGTTTTGTTGTCAATACATTTCATTTTATACTTTCAGTACATAGACTAACAA